ACACACACACACACACACACACACACACACACACACGCACACATACACACACCGTCCCATGCCCCTCGATAAAGTTGATATTTACAAATAAACTGATTGATTCGTGAGCCGTGGTAATTAAGTCAGGAGGATATATATTAAGCACCATTTTCTTCATCAAAATAACAATCAAAGGACAACTAAAACGCTGATGACAATAACCAATATTGATTTTTAAAAAAAAACTTTTTAAACTCCCACACGCACGTACAATAAAAGGGTAACTGCAACATGGAATGCACATTGTTAGTCCAAGACCAGTGCTTGCCAACCCACGTGATATCAGCCAGTGGTGAGTCATTGGGTAATGTTGGTGGGCGGTAGGGAACACTGGGGTAGTGACAGGTGCCGTTTAATGCCACTCTTGGAAATACCTGGGGGTGGGGGGGGGTACTTTATTTTTATCAAGAAAAGAGTACAGACCCTTTGGGTTACTTTTGAGTCTAAGGCTCACACACCTAAAAATTCCATGTGTTGCGTGGAACTGCAGCACACCATACAAAATAGTTGCGTTGCTCAAAACAGTGTTCTTCACGTCATCTGGGAGTTTAGCAAAAGCGTCGTCACTTGGGGCGAAAATGGTGAGGTAATCTGAAAGGCGGATGGAATATAATATTTTAATTATTTTAATTATTGGACGAGAACAAGAACAAGAACAAGAACTAGAGGAAAAAGAAGATCGAGAAAAGAACAAGAAGAACAGGAACGTTCTGTTGTTATGCTTACTTTTTTTTAAAAATCAAGTCCAATAAATAATATTATCCCTGTTCTTATATTGGGTGACGCAACTATAGATCGGCTAAGATAACATAATATTAGATTAATCTTTTTTGTCCAGACTCTGGCACATTTGTTTTGAGTTATATTACACACACAGACACGCACACACACACACACACACGTACACACACACACACACACACACACACACACACACACAAATGCACACACAAATGCACACACAATGCACACAAAAATGCACACACACACATATATACACACGCACTCTCTCTCACACACACAAGTGCACACACAAACGCACATACATACACACATACACACATACACACACATACACACACACACATTATACAGAAGCACGTGCCCGCTTATTCATACACACAAACTGTATCACATTGCAGTCCCTTTTCCACACACACATTATATACACAATAAATACTGATACTCGGAAACAACCGCAGCATACGATTCGAACGAACGTTTGTTGCTATCAAATAACAATATTTATAGAGATACGTTTAGTACATGCATTTTGATAGTGATCCGATGGTATTCTGGTAGTACATGCTCTAAACGTCCTACGTTTAGTGGATGATGTATAAAACGAACTCATTATAGTACATTGTAATATTTTCAATAAACGTATGATAGTCGTCTTTGTATAATACGAATACACACCGGAGACGACGATAGGGAAAACAAAGAAGGGCGATAAAGAGGGAGAAACAGAGAAAGAAGCAGTGGGAAAGATAGGGGAGGAGAAAGAAGAGATTGTGAGAGAGGGAGAGAGACAGAGAGACAGACAGACAGAGAGAGAGAGAGAGA